CCCCTCACAGACACACCACTGGCACATCCCCCACTGCCACACAGGCACGGAGCAACACACACCTTCCCCCGGGTGTCTCCTGCCTACGCCAGCTTCAGCCCCACCCCACCCCCCACAGACAGGCTGCTGGCAGCTGGCTGTGGTTTCCTAGGAAACGCCTTCACCATCCTGGCATTGGAGTCTCAGGGGCCTCCAGCATGTGCCGGACAAGCCCTCAGAGCCTGCCTGGGACTTGGGCTGCAGGTGGGCACAGCTGGATGCAGAGGTGCCTGGTGCGCCGAGGGGGCCGGCATCAGGGGACAGGGGACAGGTCAGCTGGGTGTGGATCCAGGTGTCCACATGCTGACAGAGGCCGGCAGGGCCTGGAGGGTGAGAGAGGCCAGGCCGTGCCCTGAAGGTGCAGGGGAAGCGATGGTTCCCTGGCTGCAGGGGTGAAGGCGAGTGCTCGGCCTTGGAGTGCCTGCAGGGCTGCCACGCCTGCCACTGCACACTCCTGCCTCCAGGTGGGCCGTGGGCCCGAGGTCCGACGAGTCTACCTTAATCACTCTCCACTGAAGCGTCCGAGACCAGCACAGAGCAGTGTCTGCAGCACATTTATCCTCCCAGTCGCTGCCCCAGATGCCCGACATTGTGCTGGACCACGCCATCCTGGGCAGCGTGGCTCAGGGCTGCAGCGGGGCTTCTGCGTAGAATCCGTGTGGCCCTCGGAGCCTCCCTGCCCTCTGTGAGACGGGCTGGCCTGAAGACCCTGTGTCCCACTTGGAGGAGGGACTCTGGGAGGGACTGCCGGGGACAGGGTGTCTGCTGTGAGCTCTGGGATCCAGGGGGCAGGGAGGGCATCTGTGGGCCTGGAGGAAGGAGGTCAGAACAAGTGGGGCAGAAAATGAGATGAGTGCACCAAGCAGGGGAGGGGGAGCCAGAGGCTGGACACAGCGCCTGTGTGGGGAGGGGTGTGAGGGGAAGAGAGAGGGGTTCCCAGAGGGGCCTGGACTGGGGCAGCCGCGCCAGGCCCAGCTCACACGTGCTCTGCACACTTGTTGGAGCACAGCAGAGTTTGCATAGCGCTGTGCATGCCGCACCAGGGCACTCGAGGAGTCGTGAGCTGTGCTGCCAGTGATAAGGAACATGCTGGCGACACGCTGGACACTGGGGCCCCGGCCGCTGGCAGCTGTGAGGCCTCTCCCAGCCCTCAGGGTCACAGGGAGTCACTGGAATGCTAGCCCGGTGCTGTCATGATGGGCATCAATCCCGCTAACCGTCTCCTGTCACTGAGACGTGAATTCACTGAGGCGGGCCGAGCACAGGAAGCATCTGAGAGCTGCTTGGCTGCCTGTGCCTGTGGAGGGTTCCACAACACCTTTGGTTTGGGAAACACACTTTCTACTCCTACTGGTACACTCTTCTGATTCACCAGCTTTCGGCCTGTTTTCTAGAATGGGTGTCCCTACCCAGGGAGTCCGGGAACCTGCACAGGAAACAATGGCCCTTTCAGAGAGATGGACCTCTCGGCCATGTGGCATTTCCTCCCGTGGGCAGCACAGGTGGCCCACCTCCTGTACCACTGGGGACTCCCCAGACTTCCACTCACCCCCCACCAACCACAGGAGTGGGGAGGAGTCCACCATCACCCCTTCACACATCTGCTTCGTGATACTTTGATAATTATTCCAAAGCTAGAGGCCCGATGCACAGAAATTCGTGCAAAAGTAGGCCTTCCTTCCCCTGGCTGCTGGCACCAGCTTCCCTCTGGCACCCGGGACCCGGGCTTCGCTCCAGCCACCAGGCTGCTTCCCTTCAGCGGCTGCTGCTAGGCACCCAGGACCTGGGCTTTGCTCCTGCCCCGGCTTCGTCCAGAAGGGCATCCGGAATGATGCCTAGAAGGACATTTGGTCTAATTAGCATATTACCCTTTTATTATGATAGATAACTGGTATCCTTCGCAATCCCCCGTGTCTTTGCTCACTCAGAACATCAATGAGCCGGTGTCCGGGGGTGTCCAGGGCAGTGACGCTCAACCTGCGATGCCGAGGTGGCAGAGACATGTCATCGCGCATTTGTCGAAACCCATAGGACCTACGGCGACACGAAAGGGGAACCCGATGCGAACTGTGGGCGCTCATTAGTGACCACACAGCAGCATGGGCTCATGGAGAGCGGCGCACGCACCACACAGCGCGGGGTGCACGGGGCACTGTCCCCCAGGGCGGGGAGCTCTGCGGCTGCCCAGCGCCCCTGCTCTAAAATAGAAAGCCTATTAATTTTTTAAAGTTCATTAATTATGTAAAAAATACCCGAGACCGCCAAGGGGGCCCTGGGACTGCAGGATTTGGGGACAGTGGTCCTGGCTCAGGCCTCACTGCAGGGGCGACGGGAGCGGGGTGTGCTGGGCCTCTGAAGGCCACCCTACCGAGGGCCTCTCAGCTGCTCCAGTGGGGTGGGGAGGGGCAGCCCGTGTCCTGGAGGTGGGAGTGGGGCTGGG